TTGTACCAAGATAACATCTCACTGACTCCATCCTTATTTACCAAGATATCATCTCACTGAACCCATCCTTATTTACCAAGATATCATCTCACTGACCCCATCCTTATTGTACCAAGATATCATCTCACTGACCCCATCCTTATTGTACCAAGAGATCATCTCACTGACCCCATCCTTATTGTACCAAGAGATCATCTCACTGACCCCATCCTTATTGTACCAAGAGATCATCTCACTGACCCCATCCGTATTTACCAAGATAACATCTCACTTACTCCATCCTTATTTACCAAGAGATCATCTCACTGAATCCATCCTTATTGTACCAGGAGATCATCTCACTGACCCCATTCTTATTGTACCAAGAGATCATCTCACTGACCCCATCCTTATTGTACCAAGAGATCATCTTACTGAACCCATCCTTATTGTACCAAGATATCATCTCACTGAACCCTTCCTTATTGTACCAGGAGATCATCTCACTGAACCCATTCTTATTGTACCAAGAGATCATCTCACTGACCCCATCCTTATTGTACCAGGAGATCATCTCACTGAACCCATCCTTATTGTACCAAGAGATCATCTCACTGACTCCATCCTTATTGTACCAAGAGATCATCTCACTGACCCCATCCTTATTGTACCAAGATATCATCTCACTGACCCCATCCTTATTGTACCAAGAGATCATCTCACTGAACCCATCCTTATTGTACCAAGAGATCATCTCACTGAACCCATCCTTGTTGTACCAAGATATCATCTCACTGAACCCATCCTTATTGTACCAAGAGATCATCTCACTGAACCTATCCTAATTGTAATAGATCATCCTTATAGATACTTGAGTTACATACTGTTTCCTTTGTGGAACACTCTGGCCACTGTGTACAATAACAGGGAGCCCGTCCATCCTTATATATTAACTCTCTCCAAGTGTGTATATAGAATCAAACCTCTGCATAGAAACCAATTCTCAATAGTATTAAAAATCGTGTCAGTTCAGTGATTGTAAGCCCCGTGGCTTCTTCATTAAAGTACAACAGGGTTGTTTATTAGTAACATACTGACGATGTATCAATGGCGTAATCGGGTAGTCTTGGTAAAGTACATCAAAACAAAAGAATGTTATCAAATTTATTAGCAGGTGCACTTTCCCATCCACATTTTGACATTTTATTTTTGACACGCTTACGTTTCAACATTTTTAGACATTTTGCCAAAGTCTAGAAAGACGATGTAGTTTAATTCACTATTTGGCTATGTCATATATCACTCTGAATTTGTATCGAAATAAACTATTTAGTGGGTTTTTTTCGTACGATCAATTGATAAATGTTTTTTTTTTAATCTCATTGCTTATAATTATTAACATAGAGACAGAGACGATGTCTCAAATGTTAATAAAATATACTTAATTTCGATTTGATTCATAATTGTACAAAATACACAAGAACATGACATGTTATACATAGAATCAAATACAATAGAGATAAATGATGAATTAAAATGCGTCATCTTGTTTATTCCTGCTTGCATTACTGGCCTAAACCGTTATAATCTGGGAGGCCACTGAGGAAAATCCTAAAATACACATACCAATGCGGAAGTAAACAAACCCCACAATTCAATATACAAGAATTTTCTGTGTTGAGTAATACTTCTTAAAAAACATAAAGTCCAAGTGTATATTCTGAGCAATGACCGCAAATTCAGCGATAAAAATATGGAATACATGTAACGCGTAATTTCAAGAGGGAATAATCCTTCCTGCAGCCTTTCCATCCTTCTGATTGAAACAATCATATTTCTAGTTACAACATTTAAAAATTGTCAACAAGTTATATAAATTCTACTGAATTAATTGTTTTATATTGGTATATTGTCTTTGTCATTGCGGCCATCAATGTCGATTTAATTGTCGTTGTGTGCTTTTACAACTGTCAGAGGTTAAAAAGATAAACTGATGAAATAAAAAGATAAATAGTAAATGAAAACATATAATCATTATTTCTTGTTTTATAAACGATGCGGTTATGGCGCAAAAATTGTCATATATATACACATTGTGGTTGACTTTAGACAAAAATAATAAAACAATTAAGTTCATGTGTTAGATGATAAATATTTCATTTATGCTTAAAGAAAACTTACCGGAGTCGCAGTCAGTCCCTCTTCAGACATCACCACTCACTTGAAACGACATAAACACACTACCTACGGTCGGTGAGATAATTGGCTACTGGTAATATTGATATATATATATATTTATGTATATATAGTACCAGTCCGTCTATAACAGCGGACCTGTTTTGCTACCCGATCGATATATTTTACCATTTGGGAATATTGAATTTTACTATAGCAAAACAATTATTTTAAAAGGTTCATTTTGTCACCTGTCCGTACACGAGATAAACTTTTATATCAAAAATACATCTACTGTTATTTTATCATTTATCCATGCGCAGAAAAAAATGTGGAAATCGAAATGTTTTGTCACTTGGATATTGAGAAAAATCATTAAGAGAACTGAAAACGAAGATAACACACAAATGAAAGCTAATTGAAATATTGACACGATATCACTAGGCATAAAACGGCCCTAATGCATCTCAGCAGGGCATATTTAGAATCCATTGGTTACTACATACACATGTCATACATGCATGGTTAAACTGCGTGACAAATAATTTACTAACTCCAGTAGGGTTACGAAAGGTGAGAGTAAGCCGCAATGGATTGATATATCTAATACAAACATTATGTTTACCTGACAAGACCATTGTGACATAAGTTCATGTTGTGTTAGCTGCCTCTATACCTGTCCATAGGCAGGGTTGCTTTCTCGTATTGTTCATGAATTACAAAATTCGCGAGAATTAACTCGAAAAAATCGATACTGTTTTCATATGTTGAATCTATATCATAATAGTATATTGTATCAAAAAAAATGTCTTGTGAAAGATAAAAGAGATTTCATGAATTTGATGAAGAACATGGTCAACATTGCTCCTTGAATCTACAGCAACATGACTTGTCGTATTTTCAGCATCAATTATCTGTATTTCTTGCTATTGTAAATCATTGTATTGTTAACTACATGGGGTTCGATTCCCGGAATGAATGCGGAAAGGTAAAGTATCTCCTGTCCGACAACGTGGGTTTTCCCTGGGTACTCCAGTTTCCATGCCAACAAGAGTGATTAATATAAGTTGGAAAATCTGGTTTCTCGTTTATCTATAACTGCTTCTGTGAAACTGGTTATAGTATGGAGCCCATGTCCAGTACTTATGACCTCGTATGTACCATAAGGTATCTCATCACTTACATATCGGTGAATTATTTGTCCTGTTTATACAATGAATGTACTGTGGTATTTTGATGGTGACCACTGTGCTATTCTGTGGTTACATGTCAGTGAAGGTAAACATCAAATCTGAGATGGGAAACCTAAAGTTTATTCTTTTTTTTTCCCAGTCAAAATCGAGTTTCATTTTAATTGTGAAATATCTAGTCACAACTAAAACCTACAAACCACATGCAACTGCTCTGAATTCATATAATATATACCGTTATTTAACCTCTGGAATGAATATATGTACCGGTCGGGACTAAGCCATCTTGATATTTGATATCGACAGAGAAAAATAGATTACACGTTTTGCTGTGTTCTTTTGAAATATTACAATTAAGAATTATCCAATACCATTTAATAATGTTGGTATCTCTCGGTTGTCGTTCCTATAGTGACCACTCTCTTGTAAGCAGTACTGCTCTTCCGTGCTGAGGAAAACTAAAAATGTTCTTTGTCATAAAATCTGGCGCCAACTCCAGTTCTCAAATCCCGTTTTTTTTTTTTTTTTTTACTTTTTAACTTTTTATCGTAGCTTCTGACATGGATCCGATATCGATTGTTGGCGTTGTTGTTTTGTTTTCTTTTATAACTTGCCACTGTAATTAATTATTACAATTTCCTAATGTTTATTGTTGGCCCTTCAGCAACGGCGAGTCAGTTCAGCAGAGAGTTTGTATTGAAGACTGAAGTATTGAATCAGCGTAATTGTTATAATTTTTCTTTGTTTACTGTGTGGAGCTCGTGTGTTATCAGATGCAATATCATACAGCGACTGAAATCGTTCTTGCTTGTAATTCGAAGGAATTTTAATGTACCTTGGTCATTGTATGAAACACTTCGTATGACTGGAATCGGAAGTATGTATAATAACAGGTAATTGTTACCCCGTCTTAAAACAGAAAGCTGTAGTAATGAATATAAATCGTTCTGTGTTTGAATTCCTTACATTACTTTTTCATTTTTATTTTTGTTCATGATGGGTTAATTGAAACGACAATAGCCGACCCCCCCCCCCTCTTTCTCTCTCTCTCTCTCTCTGTTGTTAGGTATACCTTATTGATTTCAGAAATGTGTCATTATACACAGTATTAGCGTCAGTGTTTTACAACACACACCCCCCTGATTTCTCTCTCTCTCTCTGTTGTTAGGTATACCTTATTGATTTCAGAAATGTGTCATTATACACAGTATTAGCGTCAGTGTTTTACAACACACACGCCATAATTGATTTCCCCAAATGTTTAATTTTTAGTAGAATAAGTCTCATGGGATTATCCCTAGTCCTTATACGTAACAGTTTAGAGTTTAGGAGAATAAGTCTCATGGGATTATCCCAAGTCTTTATACGTGACAGTTTAGAGTTTAGGAGAATAAGTCTCATGGGATTATCCCAAGTCCTTATACCTGAGTGTGTAAGGTTGTTTAGTAGAACAAGTCTGAAAGGATTATCCCAAGTCCATTTGTGGGAATGTGTAAAGTTAAGTAGAATATGTATAACACATTTTGAAACAAATGTGATATGGAATATTTGATAAAAAAAAATATGGAACATGAATTAACAGTGAAAACCAGACATATTTGAGAGTTTATTCAACAGAACAATGTAACAACACATTTATAACACATACATCTAATGTATATTCCATGTAATACCACATTCAGTGAGATCATCTGTCTCTTTCTTAACAGACGTCTTCATAGGGGACACCCGATGTAGTAAAACATTGATGTCAACAAGACATTTCAATCGTACTTTCTTCTTTCACTAAACTCCGAAGATTTAAAATTTACTGTTTCTTCCAATATCTCTACTATCTGATCTGATTAACTTTAATTCTTGATTCCTAACTGGTAATCCCACAGATTTACCACATGATGTCCTGGAATATGATGTCCTGGAATACGATGGCCGTGGAAGTTTGGCTTAACACATGCACGTGATAGTTTGTAATCTTCAGCAGTAGTATATCTTGTATAGCTATCTAACTTCCGACCACCGGTTTTCCTTTGTCTCCAATTGTGAATGCCAACAACACAACTGTGAAATAAAAATTGTAAAAAATAAATATCCATTTGTTTTCATATTAGACTTTGTTTTGTTCTGATGTCAAAAAATTAAATATCATTTCTTTATGAAATCACAAAGATAATTTAACCAAGAAATAAAGAGTTCCAAATCCATAAATTATGTATTTCACTGTCACTGCCAACAAAATGAAAACTTAACATATCAATGTACTTTTTAAACATTACATAAACAAACACCGAACTCAAAAACAAAGGTTTTGTGTTTTAACAATCTTAAACTTAGAAAATAAATATTTTCGTGAATGTCCTTTTTTGTGTACCAAATTATGATTATATCCATTTCACTAAGGATATTTCAGTAAGATTGTTTCACGGATATGTTAGCTATAAGCTATAATGAAGGTATTAATTCATAAACTCACCCTGTTTCCTGATGGTCCTTGTGGCAAGGTTTAGCTGTCATTGCTTTTTCACCACAACATGTCCAAACCTCATTCTCTACAACACCAAATACTTTGATTAGTGGGATACAACTTCAACCATTCCAACAACAGAGACAACTATGATGTACCATTAACATATTTGTTACACTATACACTACACTACATCTCTACACTTTACAAGTAGATTTCACAAAAAATCATCCATGTCTTCGTGGAAGTGTGGGTTATCTAAAAGTAACCATTGCCTGAGAAAATACATAATTGTTTTTGTTTCTTTTTAGTTTAGTTTTTTTTTAATAGCTGCTTCATCAAATGGTGAAATATTTCTTTTAAATTGACACTAAATAATAACTGGCTACCAATCATTCTCAACATAGTAGTTAACTGGGTCTAGAATGAACTTACTGAGGTAGCCGGGGTGGTGTTGACAGGGAGCAGCATCTTTTAATCCTTCAAAGGTGCCCAGGCAGTTGAAACACTGACCATCAATCAAAGGAGATGGTGTCTGTGGGGTCCACCCTCTACAGAATCCATAAAAATCAATATTATGATTCATGGTGTGACCAACTCATTCAGATGTTTGTAGTCTGAAAAGCATGCTGGTCCAAGACGTACTATTTAAATGCATTTTTTTCTCCACAACTTTTTCTCATCCTCTTCCTTAAGTTTAAAAAAAAATCACAAATTACCATTTGAAATTCCAATTCCTTCACAAAGGCATCACATTTCAAACTGATTTTGAAGGCTAGTTAATGCAACTCTTAACACCTTTTGTTCTTCATAAATCTTAGGATGCTGTGTTTTCCTTCTGTTCCAATTCAATCTAAGAAAGTTTTGTTTCAACTAAATAGAGAATACAGGATCAGTGTCTTAAAATATAAGCTGGATTTTGGCTAGAGAGAATAAAAGACAAAAGTGGCAAGCCATTAGTGAACCACTTTTGACTTTCTGTCCTAGGCCAAAATGTTGTTTGTTACAACAAATGAAATTTCATATTCAAACAATTGTTTATATTTTAAAATGAAATGTGTAAGTAAATCAGACAATAATTCTACTGAATCAATGCATGTGCTAAACTACAGCTGTTTTCCGTCACTGCCAAATACAGCAAAAATGTATGTGGTCGGTGCATTCTGATAATGGCAGCACTGTTCCAAGATAAATCCAAATACAAGATTGAAAAATTAATCTGAAGAACAAGTGTTCCAAAGGAATCTTCACTCTCAAAGTTAAAATGGAATCAAAGGGCTCAATCAAATCAAAAGACCAAGCAACCAATCAAATCATAAGAGCTAATGTCCAATCAAATCATAAGAGCTAATGCCCAATCAAATCATAAGAGCTAATGTCCAATCAAATCAAAAGAACTAATGTCCAATCAAATCAAAAGAACTAATGTCCAATCAAATCAAAAGAACTAATGCCCAATCAAATCAAAAGAACTAATGTCCAATCAAATCAAAAGAGCTAATGCCCAATCAAATCAAAAGAACTAATGTCCAATCAAATCAAAAGAACTAATGCCCAATCAAATCAAAAGAACTAATGTCCAATCAAATCAAAAGAGCTAATGCCCAATCAAATCAAAAGAACTAATGTCCAATCAAATCAAAAGAACTAATGCCCAATCAAATCAAAAGAACTAATGTCCAATCAAATCAAAGGAACTAATGCCCAATCAAATCAAAAGAGCTAATATCCAATCAAATCATAAGAGCTAATGCCCAATCAAATCATAAGAGCTAATGTCCAATCAAATCAAAAGAACTAATGTCCAATCAAATCAAAAGAGCTAATGTCCAATCAAATCAAAAGAGCTAATGCCCAATCAAATCAAAAGAACTAATGCCCAATCAAATCAAAAGAACTAATGTCCAATCAAATCAAAAGAGCTAATGCCCAATCAAATCAAAGGAACTAATGTCCAATCAAATCAAAAGAACTAATGCCCAATCAAATCAAAGGAACTAATACCCAATCAAATAAAAAAATCTTGTGTTACAATCAAAAGGGTCCAATTAAAGACAATGCAATCAAATCAAAAGAACATTAAAAATCAAAAGAGCTAATGTCCAATCAAATCATAAGAGCTAATGCCAAACCTTGTAATGTCCAATCAAATCAAAGGACTAATCATTAAAAATCTTGTGTTATGCAACTAGCTTTGAATCTTGTCTTCTGACTTACTCAAATGATTTTTTTGAGTGTGTTTTTACCAATTCAATATATTGAAAATCTAAATAAGTCACATCATTTTTTTCAGTGTGCTGACAATCAGTATATTGAAAATCTAAATAAGTCACATCATTCATGGCTGACAATCAATCTCCCAGTCCCTAAATAAGTCACATGATACAAGGCTGACAATCAATCTCCCAGTCCCTAAATAAGTCACATGATACAAGGCTGACAATCAATCTCCCAGCCCCTAAATAAGTCACATGATACAAGGCTGACAATCAATCTCCCAGCCCCTAAATAAGTCACATGATTTATGGCTGACAATCAAACCCCCAGCCCCTTGATAATTCATTAACAGTCCTACCTCTTCTTCAACTTCTTGATGTAATCAGTCTGACGAGTTTCTTTCACGGCACAGGCTGAAATAACAAAAAGTTACTTGTAATATAAACTTGTACAGCACAACATGAAACAAGCAAAATTGATAAAAAAAGTTTTGTTTGATTTGAACAATCAGTTGATTATGTTGGAAAGGGTATTCATTATATTAATATTGGTATGATATTTCCCTTACAGTAACAACTGCACACTCATTATATTAATACTGGTATGATATTTCCCTTACAGTAACAACTGCACACTCCTTATATTAATATTGGTATGATATTTCCCTTACAGTAACAACTGCACACTCATTATGTTAATATTGGTATGATATTTCCCTTACAGTAACAACTGCACACTCCAACTGAAGTGGTATCATGATATTCTTAATGTTTAACATAACAGGATGATGTATTTAATTATTCAAATGTTGACTGTACACCAATCAGCATGAGAGTTATCTCTGGGGGTCACCTTTAATTTATGGAGGTCACAGACAATGGATTTGAGGTTAATCATTTGTGATATAAATAAGCATTCAAAGAAGCCAATCAAATAGCAGGGCAAGGGTCTGACATGAAAAATCACAAACAGCTGGCTTTGTCAATGGTAATACTTCCTTAACAGTCCCAACTTATCACAACATTACATAATGAATGAAAAAGCCTTCAGAATAGTTGATGGAGATGAGGTATCTCTTCACAGGTAAATATATCCTGATAAAGAAAGCCCTAGTAACCTGAACACTCTTGTATCAGTAATGAAAAGTCATAGTTTTTATTTGTGGACTGAATATTTCCAATGTTTTCTTTTTATTTATGTCAAACATTTGTGAAAATATAAATATATGCATGTCAAATACATGTAACAAGCACTTGTAGAGTTTTTTTGAAGGAGTTCCTCTCTCCTCTCCAGCCCCACCCCAACCCAGTCTTAATATATATATATAAACTTTTTTTATCTTACAGCAATTGAGAAACAAGCTATCAGCTTATATTAATCACTCTTGTTGGCCCGGATGGAAGTGTGCGAGGAATCTTACTGTGGGTGGAAACCAGAGTACCCAAGGAAAACCCACATAGTCGGGCAGGTGACCCCTTACCTTTTCACATCTGTTCCAGGAATCGAACCCCGGACAGCTAGATGAAAGGTGAGAGTGTTATCACTGCACCACTCGACCACCAAGATACCACACCATAATGTTGATTTTAATTGATATTACCTGTAGCTGTATGGTCCAAAACCTCCTTGTCATAAATTATTCTCTGCCCATATGACCTGCGCTGCTCCTAAATTGAAGCAAACAAACTTTTACATACATGTTGATTTGATAGATGTTTCATTCCTATTGTTTCCTTTCCTGATTTCTTTATCTTAAATCTAAAACATGTAATATGTTCAAACTTAAAGTGGTATGATAAAATTTTAGTGTATTATCACATGTGGCAAATTAGCATAATGATAAATTTGCATATACCAGTAAGTGACAACTGTTATATATAAACAATAATACAGACACAACAATTAGAATAATCTTCTTTTAGCATAACACTTTCAGTGCAAAATGCTAAATTAAGACTACCCTTTCAGTATATTTGAGATATGTTGTTGCCTCTCCTATAAGCAAACTGCTACATGGTTTCTTCATCATTTATTGGAGATGAACACCAAAACTTTTGATATAATGTTAAGTACATGAAAGTATTGAAATATAGATTTCAGAAAAATTAAACAGTAATGAGAGAAATCAGATGATACAATTTTAAAATAGCTCTTGTGACATTTGGGAGTTATCTCCCATTAAATAGATTTTTTTTCTCAAGTAATCATAAATGGTGTTCATTATACATATATTATGGATAGTTCTATAGTATGATATCATGACACCCACCATGTAAACCTTTGACATTATGACCTGTCCATTTCCCTCACGCATTAAAACACCCCTGGTAATAAGACATCCCATTTCCCCTTGACAGAAATCATTATTAATGCAAGATCTACCTCCTTTATTTTCTTACTAATGCCATAACATGCATCCTTTACACATGGTTTCCAGATCAAACTCTACATGGAAAGCCATAACTTCCCTTTACATGTTATACATACACTGTGTCTGTTGTCCATTTCTTTTTGTATTTCTTCAGCTGCTGACCACAGCTTAGATCGGAATGTCGCCAACATTTTCACATCTTTATAGTGTAGTATCACATGTGTAATTGCAATTTTGCTAGTAAAGGTTCTTTCATTAGCCTCTTTGTTGAATTTCAATACAATATCCTTTCTATACTGGTATAACAGCTTTTTGAAACCTTCTGTATCTTTCAACCGCAACAGGTTCCCAGGGAAAATTTTCATTTTACACTCCTGTTTTGATTTCAATGTTTTCATCCTTTTTTGCACAACCATCTGCTTTACTTTTTGTTTGTTTGTTTTTTCTACTTTAACCTTTTTAGGTCTGTCCACTGCAGGACTTGTACCCTGAAGGAAATTGTATGTGTTGTTCTTATATGACTGATAAAGTACATACAAAAACATACACAGACTGTAATTGTCTGTTGAAATGCCTTTCACAACTTCAGAATTTAAAAAGTTCTTCAAAAACTTTTGTTCTTCATTGGAATGCAGCTTTTCTTGGACCGATGAAATAATAATATGCAGATCTGATGATTGAAGAAGTCCTTTTATATCTGGTTCTGTAAAAAATAAATAAATAAAAAATGAATAAGATAAAGACGATTAACATTATTCAAACTATTGCAATGTGTATTACTTGGTTTTAAGTAATGTGACACTATAAGTAAAATTGCTTCCCATGGTAGCTTCATATTAAACAAATAAATACATAAAATATTATGCATTAACAAAACATATACATTTTAAATGAACATTTATTTCGCACAGTAAGCACTCAAATTTATTGGCACTTATAGAATCAACATTTTTACATCTTTACTGTGTGAAAAAATTAATTCAAAATACAGAACTAGTTGCAATATTATAAAAAGGTTCAAACAAACTGTGTTATTCACCAAAAATTAAAAAAAAAAACAAAAAAACAAAAAAAAAAAAACCATACAAAATACATACAATTTACAAATGTAGCCTACTTACCATTAAATCAAGATCTGATCTGGTTTTAAGGATGAATATATAAAACTTATATAAAGAAAACAATGCATCGGCTAAATAAATCTACTCACTTTTTCTTCTACAGGAACAGACTGCCATTCCCAAACGGTAAACATAAGGCCGAGGAATCAGTTTTGCATGTTGGATATCTCTGCTCAGCTGTTGGAACGCCAACTTGTCATTATGATATAGACAGATAGTGTTGATATCCATGTTTGATATAACTTCATATACTGCCTGGCTGTTAGAGTTCCACGATATATCTATTACACGTATTATTATAGTTTAGCTAGCATACCACTAACTAATATCTTTAAATCAGCCGTTAAAGTAAATAAAATCTTCCTGACTTTGCCATACTTGCAACTTTGCAAGTAACACGCTACCAAACACATCTGCTTACTGTTTAGGCCTATATAAGTGCTGGTAAAATGCAAGATATGCTGAATCTGTATTTGGATTACACGTCATCAACTGATGAAATGGTCATGCAACTCGGAGAGTGGAATATTCCAGATGATTCTGACAGTTCGATCGTCATGTTGTGGTGCAATATAATGTAATGACTCAAGGTGGAAATGATCAAGAGTGTTCCGAAAGGCCTATTCCGAACGGTCAAGTGATTACTTTCGCTTTCATTTTCGATTTACATAAAACGAAGTACCATTTGATACGTTTTTGCTTTTTCTATCCCTTTATTAAAAATGTAAAATCACAAAATATCTATATTGTCACGTAGTTAATTTTTTTAGCTGTCTATTTCATGTATAACTGTGTAGATTCGTCTGTTGTGAGTGACGTGCGCGTGCGAGTGTTATTGTTTACCTGTAACATGTGGTTTCTCCGCTGTCCAGGTGGAACGAGCTATATTTAGCCGCTACGCTTGGTCAGAACCTGTTCTATTGTTTACCTGCGCGGGTCGAAGTGTCCTTTTGTGTGAGCTGTCAAATAATGTTGTCAAGTTTTTTTAAGTGTTTCTTCTCGTTATGTGCTGTGTACGTAAGATTGTGTAAGTCTTTTCGCCATAAGTTGTCTTTGTAAATCGTTGTCCTTGGTTCGTTAGACTGAGCTCACCTGTAGCGCCGGGTGGACGTGTTTTTGACACGTAGCGGTCTCTCAGCTATTTTTATACTTTCTACCCCCTTGTCTGTTCAACCATTATTTGTTACCATTTTATCCTGAATACACTTTTAAAGAGAACAAATAAGTTTGCGTAATATTTAATTCTCATGGTAAAATTATACAAGGCCCACTGACCGGCCCTAAACTTAACATGATGACAAACGGCAATTGTCACAATATATTCGTACAATCTGCGTTAAAATTAATCCCTTATGTAACTGTATGGAATTACACCGTGTGTACATGTGTTGGAATTTCGAGATATTATCTCAACCGTTGTGTAACTATCTCGAAATTTTGAGTTGTTTTCTAAATATCTCATGTGATATTCTCAAAAATTTCGAGTTACTCTCTCGAAATTTCGTACTGCTTTCTAATACTCCTTCAGAGAGGTTTCATGACTGTGACAATTATTGCATTTGGAAATATTCTCTTTTATTTTGCGATATGAAGCTAGACTAGCATTAGGTAAGGTGAACATTAATATTGTTCTCATATGAGAGCACAGTATTACTTGCGGGTGTCGGCGGTGGAGAAGAAAACGACGACTACATGTACCCTTTAGGAACGCCTGGTATTATTTCCTTGTATTTCCTTTTCATGAATGTTCTTGTTCAAAATATGCACTCGTTTTATCGACTTTTGTTTGAATTAAAATTTTATTGACACGTCGGTATTTTCCTTGTTGTATTTGAAAATCACCATATTTCGCTGCTTTGATATTACCGCGCTGTAGCATATTCTTATGCTTTATAGAGTCAAATTTACTATATCATGAAAACACAACATTTGCAGTGTTACAATATCCTATCATTAGCGTTTACTGACTGTCTACATAATGTACAACCATTAACGTTTACTGACTGTCTACATAATGTACAACCATTAACGTTTACTGACTGTCTACATAACGTACAACCGTTAACGTTTACTGACTGTCTACATAATGTACAACCATTAACGTTTACTGACTGTCTACATAATGTACAACCATTAACGTTTACTGACTGTCTACATAATGTACAACCATCAACGTTTACTGTCTACACAATGTTAAACCATTAACAATTACTGACTGTCTACATAACGTACAACCGTTAACGTTTACTGACTGTCTACATAATGTACAACCATTAACGTTTACTGACTGTCTATATAATGTACAACCATTAACGTTTACTGACTGTCTACATAATGTACAACCATCAACGTTTACTGACTGTCTACATAATGTACAACCATCAACGTTTACTGACTGTCTATATAATGTATAACCATTAACGTTTACTGATTGCCTACATAATGTACAACCATCAACGTTTACTGACTGTCTACATAACGTACAACCATTAACGTTGACTGAAAGTCTATGTTTTACTCGTTGTCTACATTGTCTATATGATTGTACAAGTAGTTGACGTTTAATTCTCCTAGTGTTTACGTAACATATAATGTTGACTTACAGTCAAAGTGTGATTGTCTAAATCCTGTCAATAAAACACACAAAAACAAAAACATATACCAAATGAAAATAAAACTAATAGGCTTTTCCATGGTTTTGCAGGTAGCAAAATGAAGCACAAAACATCAGTTTATAAAGAGATCACAAGATTTTGAAAAATATTTGACTTGTATATTTCAATTTTGTTACATATATGTAACTATTGTTCTATATCATCACCTGCTTCAGTTGTGGTTCCATACATCGATGAGTCTGCTCCAGTTGTGGTTCCATACACCGATGAGTCTGCTCCAGTTGTAGTTCCATACATCGATGAGTCTGCTCCAGTTGTGGTTCCATACACCGATGAGTCTGCTCCAGTTGTGGTTCCATACACCGATGAGTCTGCTCCAGTTGTGGTTCCATACACCAATGAGTCTGCTCCAGTTGTAGTTCCATACACCGATGAGTCTGCTCCAGTTGTAGTTCCATACACCGATGAGTCTGCTCCAGCGGTCTATGGTGATGATTTATTCATGGTATCACTGATGAGTAGCTTAGTTAGAATTCTATTCGCATCATTAACGTTGGCTTGGGATATCCCGTGAATTATCAGATTAATAGAACCATGATCTCCAATCCATCCCACATTGTCGCATGCCGCGAGTCACAAAGACAGCAGTGCTTAGAGAACCGACCCCTGTACCATGTTCCGATACGCCATGACTACCAACATGAATTGTTCTAACGCTTAAGGCTTCCTTACGCGCTTTCTGAGTTGTAGAAAGTCTATGAAGAGAGCCGATACCAGTAGAATACAAGCTCTGGGATAACCTGTTTATGAATTTTGAATTGTCCTGCTGCTGCAAGGCGCCAATGCTTCCCGTGTTTTCGTTATCAGATGCTAGTAGTGGACCAATGGAACTGGAAGTTTTTGGGAAAGTAATTCCGAATTTCCCTTCGTTTAGATAGCCGAAGTTAGACGGGATGACAGGATAAGCTTCATTTTGTATCGTTGTTGTGTCCCCGAAAGCACCTATGCATGTAGTTTGGGTATTTATACTGCTATGTCCCGATGTTCCATCACCCATCACAAAAATGAGCTCCCACCCAGACTTCCGATACCTGTTGCATGGGCTTCGACGTGATCCTCATAAGCATTTTCTAGAAATGATTACATCTCTTTCCCAAAATGACTTACACCTGTATATGATGCACCTATGTCGCCTTAAGCGAGAATAAGGGCAGACCCTGCAGTGGTGAGGCTAATTTGGGATTCCGGCTGTAAGTATTCGGTGGATGCCTTACTCGCAGTATTCAGATCACTGATACCTGCGCCGGGGATATGACCAGGCGAACTTCCCTGTCCAATCAAGTTACCGGAGCTTTCCGCCTGCTCCTTTTCCAATGAAGACGTGTTTTGGTGACATGACATGGCCCGTAATTTGTTGCATTGTGGACGCAGGGGAAAACATTCCGTTTGACTTTAAAATTAACATAAGCAGGATTGTAGGACGTATATTTGAACACATTTTGATTTAGTTTGCTTGGATCATAAACGTCCTCGCCAGCATTCGGGATATGTTTCCCCATGTTATCAGTGCGAGACTGATGAGATGCTCCTACAGTTTTTTTTTATCTTTGACATAAGGTATTCTTTAAGACTGTTCGCGTTGAAATCAAATGACGCTTCTTGTTGTGATGTATAGCCAGATGTGCTTTGTGAAGTTACTTCTTGATGGGGGGTTGCAGGACCGGATAGTCTAGATTCACAAACATGACCTATATATTGGTCCATGCCGTCGTTTGGATTGTATAAAGAGAGACCCCACATATCTGAATCAAACATGGCATTAATTTGGCTCTACGAATCCATATAAGAAGCCATATAAGAAGACATTGGGATCGAAATCTCGCCGTTGATACACTGGGACAGTGTATATATGTATACCTGGGAAGTAGTAAGAGGAGAAAGAAATGTGTTTTTAAAAATGTATCAATGTTTTCATCTCCACTTTTTACGATAATTAATACATCTACATCAAAATGTCGGTATGCTCTCGGCATTAAAGTAAAAAAGGAAAAGAACAAAAGGTGATACATTTTAACAGTATAAGTTATATGGCGGGGTTATATATAAAACAACAATGTGTACTTATCATTCATCTGTCCAGTCGAGGAACACGGTGTCTGATGCATGTTATTTCATTTAACGATTACCTTGTGTATAAGGCTTCAACTTATCCATCTTACTAACCTGGCTGCTGACGTATGTTTTATATGATGTAGTGCCCTTCACACTCTTATCATGATCACTGCTTATATAAAACAATTCTTGGAAATGAATTTTAGATTGCTTTGTCTTTCCCGAATTTTATTTAAAGTCGGCACAAATACTTCAGAAATCAAGACATCGTTTCATATATTAATTAACAGAAATTATCAGGGATCTTTTAAAAAAATAAACACCCTTTCATATAAAAATCAAACCATCAAACTTGCAAATTTGATATATTTTTAATCCAGAAGAAATCACATATTACTTACAGATGTACAACGTTATACCATATCAAACGGAAGACGTAGATGGATTGTCATTAATTTTCACTTTTACATCTTATGTGGTTGCAAATTCCAAAGCGCGTGGTCAAATATTTCTGGCACTTTTCATTGGTTAATCTCTTACCATCTTTGTATTGAGTGGAGGTCCTCTTTACCCGTCGGTACACTACTGATTTTTCCATTTGTGTATCTCTATCTTGTAATTTATTTTTGTAGGAGTAATTGTGACGAATGATACAAACTGTCAGGTCATGTAAGAGAAGCGCTAAAATGTTCTGTGTGATGTTGCAATAACTCCGATTGATTCTAATATATGATGTAATTAAAAGTATTCCATCAATGTCAGTTTCGAGCAGACAACATTTTGATCCCTCTACAT